CAGTGCACACACACAGCAGTGAACACACACACACTGTGAACACACACCCGGAGCATTGGGCAGCCATTTGCTGCAGCTCCCGGGGAGCAGTTGGGGGTTCAAGTGCCTTGCTCAAGGGCACCTCAGTCGTGGTATTGAAGGTGGGAGAGAGCACTGTACATCCCCCCACCTACAATCCCTGCCGGTACAAGACTCGAACCCAAAACCTTGGGGTTACGAGTCCGACTCTCTAACCATTAGGCCACGACTTCCCTCCCAAGATGTCTTCAATATGGCTGGAAAAAACACAAGAGGTATTGACTTTTGATAATGTGTTATGCTGGGGTTCTCAAAGTATGTTAGGAATTATGTCTTCAAATCAGTACAAAGGCATAATTCTAAAATGAAAGGTCATCATGAAATCTATAGGGAGATTCCTCTCTGCATAAAACATAGACTTGGCAACACCAAATAAGTTAAAGAATTACTGTTTAAAATGGTATTTTACACAAATGTACACTTGCTTAATTTTTTACATTCCAAGTTGTAATTTGTTTCTTCATACTTGGCAGCTCATGTGTAACAATGAGATTTGTACAATAATGTAATTTTTAAAGCACACCTTTTGTAGTTGATGGTAAACTTTAATTTTGCATTTGGAGTCTTTAATGTTAAAGGCATCTGTTTCTTTTATGGCAGGCTGTTTTCTGTTATTGGCCACGCAAAAATGTGTCAGTTAAAGTAAAGAAAGAAGCAATCCCAGACAAGGAATCCTGGTCACGATACAGAGTGTCTGTTCTTGGATATGCAGGTATACATTTTAGCATATGATGTTATGTAGGATAAATCTGAATGAGATTACAAAAGTGTAAGCACATACTTATTTAGCAGATGCTTTGAAGTGAATTTCAGTACGGTTATTAATACACATTCTGCCCAGAGAGGTTAAGTGCCTTGCTGAGAGACACTATGATGCTGTCTGTGGGGATTTAACCATCAAAAATGTTTTAGGGCAGAGCATGGGTCATGGGTTTTTTTCATAGCGTAATACTGTACATATTTTCATAACAGAGACTTATGCCGAAGGAAAGCGAAAAGTTCAGCATGCCATGTTTTCATCAAATTTGGAGAGTGAAGACGAGCCTGCTCGAAGACTTATCTGTAAACCCACACGTTACAGAGATGTTGATGATGGTGAGTTTAATAACTTGACAAGACAAGAGTGTTGTCATTGCAAATAGCCTGCTGTTGTTTCTTTTGATATATCTCAAAATATAAAAATATATTTATTTTTCTTAGATGATGAGGATGATGAACTGATTAAAAGGAAAAGACCTGAGAGATTTTCAGGGACAAAATTGATCCCAAGCAGACCTTCCTGTGAGTAATGTTTGTGCAATGGTTATTAGTTTGCTATTGATATTAAATAATTCAGTAATTAAGAGAATAGCACATATATTTGTGCACATAGAGTACATTCTATGCATGTAAACTGGTTAAATGGGCTTGCATTGTAATCAGTAATAATCATATTGTAATCAGTTATTATGTGACTTATCAAGTGACTCTGGCTGTCCTTAATTTTCTTTTCTAGTTATTCCATCTGCAAAATATTTTGCAGCGCTCAAGACAGTGGAGTCAAATGAGACAAGTCAGTGTTTTAATTATAAATTGGGAAATAATACCTTGAAGCTAAAGGAAGAACATTCTAGTACATTCCTGTAGCTCAGCTGGTAGAGCATGGCATGACCAATGCCAAAGGTCTTGAGTATGATTTAGTAAACACAAGAATTCCCAATACGTGTTATTGGTGAATGCTGTTGCTTTAGATAAAAAATGTCTACCAAATTTCAGTGGGCTGATTCTTGATAGTTAGCCTAACTTGAATATTGCTGATTGATTTGTATGATACCTCAGGTCTACCTGGAAACCAGATATTCAAAAAGACAACAAATAATAAGAATAATTAGAGAAATAATAAGAATCTTTCTTCCCTACAGAATTGTAATAGTAATTTAACATATAATCAAGCCTACACAATCAGCAGTACTGTTATTATTTTTCATTAATGTTTTGGCATTGCTTAAAATAGGCTTCTCCTTGAGGAGTCCTGCCATAAGCAACAGGTTGAAGGCAGTGGTTGAGAGTCATGGCCATGGTAAGCATAAAAAACAGCTATCGGCATTGTTTTCCAATGGGTCATGTGTAACTTGCATGTGCATTTGCATATGTATTTTCTAAATGATGCCTTGGGTTTATCAGGAAATATAATTCAAAGCACAACTGACAACCAGCCATTGGTCACAACCCAACAAGACAGTGATGGTAATCTAACCTATTAAGCCTGCATAATTGAAATGTACTGGTGTAATTGATCAGTTACTTACTTATTATTACTATATATGTTTTTTAATGCAGAGTTTTGCATGAACACTCCATCTGAAGACCACAACACAGAGAGGACATCAGTGGCAAGTCAAGGTAAGTATACACCAAATTGAAAAAAAAAAACTTCTGTTTGTAACAGTATGGCATTTATTACATAAACAGAGTAATTGTATGTGTTGTCTATGAGATTTAATGGAGTGTATGGTATCCAGAGTCATCAAAGTTTGAGCGGGCTGTACTCCTTCGTCTCAATCAAGTCGATGAGAGACTCCAAAACATTGAACGCCTTCTAAGGACTAACATGTGTTCTGAACCACCCGAAGGACGAGAAATTCTCGAAAAGCCCTGTAACACACCAACGGAACTGGAAGATTTGTGCACCATGTTGAAGGATCCAGCCTACAAAAAGAGAGTGGTTAGTACTTCAAGGTTGTAAGAGTTTGCACTTGGAACACGGTGTCATATGCATTGTTGTAACTCCAGCTGTGTGTGGTCTTTGGTGAGGTGGAGTGGTGTAGTGGGCTAAGCACAGCACAACAAACCAAACACCAAAACAACCCTGTGTTTTCCATATTATTTTATATAATTATGCACACAGTTTTATTTTTCTTGGTTCAGATATTGCTGTTAGTTATTGCTGTGCAGCATAATATAGCATTACTTTTATTTTCAGATTGATTGGCTGAGCCTCATGGGAGGCAACACGCCTGAGGAGTCGGTCAGAAGACTACTTAGAAAACACGGGACGAATGCTCTATGGGCCCAATATAGTCTTAAAGGCCGCAAGGGAAAGAAGAATTTCCAGGAACTGGAAATATGTAATGTCATAATCCGTGAGTTGTTTCTCAGTTGTTTCTTATTCCAAACATTTTATAGCAAGTCGCTCCTGCCATAAGCAACAGGTTGAAGGCAGTGGTTGAGAGTCATGGCCATGGTAAGCATAAAAAACAGCTATCGGCATAGTTTTCCAATGGGTCATGTGTAACTTGCATGTGCATTTGCATGTGTATTTTCTAAATGATGCCTTGGGTTTATCAGGAAATATAATTCAAAGCACAACTGACAACCAGCCATTGGTCACAACCCAACAAGACAGTGATGGTAATCTAACCTATTAAGCCTGCATAATTAAAAAGGAACTGGAAATATGTAATGTCATAATCCGTGAGTTGTGTCTCAGTTGATTCTTATTCCAAACATTTTATAGCAAGTCGCTGAAGACAACCTCTATTTTCAGAGCAAGCTAGGCCAAAGACTGCATATGAGGCATTGAGGAAATCAGCAGTGTATTGTATATACGGTATGCTTAATCATAATTTATTGTAAGTAACGGTAACATGTTTGGGTTTTGTGTATCTTAACTGGATTTTAAGATGCCTGTCGTCGAACACACACCAAGGTGCTGGAAAAAGTAATTGAGGACTTCATATCAGAAACACTGAAGTTTGCACCACACAGAGATAAGGTAAGGCTTTTGTAGTTTGTAAAAAATTAATAAAGAAAACAATGCAAATTTAGTACAGAATATACTGTATACTAATTCTATGTTTTGTTTCTATAGATGCTACAATCTAAGGTGCCACTTCAGCCCGAAGCAGAGACTTGTGGAAAAGAATACACACAGAACACACTTAATTAGTTGTTTTACACACAGAATGTATTTTGTTATGTAAGATTTGGAATGTTTCAGTTTGTGGAATGTTTGAGTATATAAAAATGTGAAAGTAAAGTAAGATATCAGTTATGCTATTGTTTTCATTTAGATGTACTGTATGTTACAGTGTACGTATCCTTGGCAAAAGGTAGACAAATACAATATGAATGAAAATGATCAAATATATTAAAATATGAAAAATGTTTGTGTAGTGTCTTACAGATTTTGGTGTTGACAAATATAATTAGAAATGTTTTGAATTAATATTTGTTTATAAAAAACTTTCCCAGGGCAATGTTTGGAGGATATTTGCATATTTTATATAACGTTTAGAAACATTCAGAAACAATTTTTTTCCTATCATTTTCCTAACAAGATGAAAAATCTGGACATTTGGAATGTTTAAAAACATTCAGAAATAATGTTTTCATAACGTTTTCAAGATGATAGAATGGAATGTTTCTATCACATAAACCAAGAAAAAACGTTCCTAATACATGAAAAAAATTTACATTTTAAACGTTTAAACTACATTCACTAATATCATTTTCATAACGTTTTCAAGATGATAGAATGGAATGTTTCTATAACGTTCCCATAAACTAAGAAAAAACGTTCCTAATACATGAAAAAAACTGGACATTTTAAACATTTAAAAAACATTCACTAATAACATTTTCATAACGTTTTCAAAATGATAGAATGGAATGTTTCTATAACGTTCACATAAACCAAGAAACGTTCGTAATACATGAAAAAGCAAAACGTTCTGACAACTCATTTTTGTTAGCTGGGCTTTGGAATGTGAATATGAAATTTCCTGTGAATACTAACAGAGGAATGTGGGTTATTTATGATAGTTACTAAATCCGAACAAGTGTACAAACAGTTAGAACTTCTTAAAACAAAAACCATATCATAATGGTTTGTTCAGACTCTACCTGGTCAAACATTTCCAATGAGTAACTGGCAGGTGAAATTCTTTTGAATTCTTTGGGTCTGAATTGGGGCTGAATTCTTTCCCATGAACTTTCAGGAAAGAGACACGTAGTAAAACACCGTAACAAAAACACTGTGAAATAAAAATCAAGGCTAGATAATATTTAAAACGTGTGAATAAAATGTAATATTAACTAAATAATGAAAACGTTTCTAAATCCCGCTCGGCATGAGATTCGGATCGATGCTGCAAAATGCTAGTTCCACGCCACGCCGCCTCTGACCACAGTTCCACACGGTCTCTTCGGTGTTAGACACGCAGAGGGTGTACAGATCTTAAACATTTCGTTTGAGACGTGACTGAAATCCCGTGAAGGCATGATCCTACTTCCTGGAAAATGTAAGGGATTTTTTTCCCATGTCTCTATTCATTCATTAAGCTAAACATTTTTATTTCAATTTATCAGAATATGTGTGTGTGTGTGTGTGTGTGTGTGTGTGTGAGAGAGAGAGAAAAAGAGAGTGAGATCGTTGCTTACAATAATTTTTGGCTATATATAGTGAGAGAGAGAGAGAGAGAGAGAGAGAGAGAGAGAGAGGGGGAGATGGAAGCACCTTTCCAATTTCACTGTGAGAGAGACCTGAGTGTAGCTCCAAGCAGGATTTAATTTTTCAACTCAAATTAAGCACATTTTGTGAGCATCTCATGTAAGGTACGTTTGAAATAAAGATGTGTTTGCTATTTTTGGAAAATGTAAGGATTTATGTTTTAAACTATTCCTTTATTTATTGTTTTATTTTCAATTCATTTTTGGTCATGTTATTTAAATCCTTTTTATACAGACATCAGATTATATGTGTGGGCGCACATATTGTGATCTGTTAAAATTGGTTACTTATTTCTGATATTGTCCTTAAAAGCGATATCTTCTTTTCTCACATCCCCCATAGAGACAGAGAGAGAGAGACAGAGGGGGAGAAATAGAGGAGCCAAAGTCAGATTTTCCATCATCTCTTCATCCCATTCCTTCTCAGGAGTTTTAGGGGAGTATAAGACGTCCATGTCTAAGTATTTCACAGCTCTTTTCTGATTTTTCTTAGAAATGCCTGAGATCTATTTATCTAAGCGTACCACGGATTCCTCCCCGGACTTGTGGGAGTCAGATGGCAGACTGGATGTGGGAACGGACCATAAAAACACAAAAACATTCCTCGGGAATTCATTTACGACATCGGACAGCATTGGACAAACGTATTTCTTCCCCTGGAGGGCAAAGGTCACATCTGGATATCTAACAGGTCACGGGGTCAAACAACACAAGGTGGTCGCGACGTGAGTGGGCTACGTGGGAGGGAGGGGAAGGTCAAAACTTTTCTGATTTTCCACAGAAATGCCTGAGATCTATTTATCTAAGTGTACCACGGAACGCAGCCGGATCCTCCCCGGACATGTGGGCGTCAGATGGCAGACCGATGTGGGAACGGACCATAAAAACACAAAAACATTCCCCAGGATTTCATTTATGACATCGGACAGCATTGGACAAACATATTTCATCTCCCAGAAGGCAAAGGTCACATCTGGATATGTAACAGGTTACGGGGTCAAACAACGCAGGGTGGTCGCGACGTGGGTGGGCTACGTGGGGAGGGAGGGGAAACGTCAAAAGGTCAAAGCCATAAATCAAGGGTCATAAATCATTCTTGACTGGTGGTCCATATTGACTACTAATGAGTTCAACCCGAGGGTGTGTTTATTTACAAGTCAGCAGATGCAAGGAAACCAGTCCGGGGAAGCTTGACTGTACTCCTCCAGTCTGCATTCAGTGAAGTAGATATACACGATGTTAATAATATATTAATTGCGCAGTGTGAGATTCATTGGTAACAGAAATTTGTGAGATCGCGATGAACAAAGAGTGACAGCTTTTTAGTGGTTATGAGCGCTCTTTGCAAGCTTTCTAGGCAATCAATTTAAAATGTAGAATTTTGTTTTTTGGCCACACACACGTTACAAAGTTTCGGGAATGACATCTGCATATTTATGCGGAATTCGCTCTCAAAGTAGCAGTGTTGACATAACCATAGCAATAGACGGGACAAAATATATGAAAATGTGCATTAAGACTAGAGCACCCTCACTAATTTCAGAAGCACCCTTATTTCTGGAACCTCGTTGATACAATTTTGTTGTATAACTATATACAAAAACAACAAAATACAAATGCACTAAATAAAAGAATTTAATAAATGCATATTTACAATTTAAGCACTTAACTAAAATAAGTATTAATAAAATAAATAACTAGAAAAGGCTGACTATATTCAGCTTGCTTCCATTTAGTGAGAAAAGCCTACTCTTCACCTGAATTAGAAAAAAAAAGCTCCTCTGGTCTTCAGTGATGCGAGGACAACGTTTGAGCGTACACGTAATATCTGTGTGAGAGCAGAGCCAATTCTCAAAAGAACAATGCATATTTAAAAGAACACATCCAGTTTTGTGTGAGTGAAGGAAATCTGCTTGCGAGTGGAGATTCGTGCTCGCGCATTAGGCCTACATGGATCACGTCACATTATGCGCTCTCGACATTGTCATTAAGATCGCGCTATAGAAGCCGCCTAAAATTAAGTATAAAGAGGAGAAGAAAGCGGTCCTAGGCAGCTGCCTACACATGCCAGGATCCGCCACTGCCAGATGCAGTTAGAAATTTACTAAAAACAAGCCTATCGCAAGCAATCT